GGACCAGTATGTATCATAAGTTGAATGCAAAAATTTTAAAAAAAAAAAAAAATCAAATATTATCAAATTAAATACAGCAATTGTATAAAAGATAATACATAGTGGTCATAGTGGGATAGTTGCCAGCTTGCAAGGCTTTATAAATATTAAAAATTAATCACATAGACGCATATATTAGTAAGGAAGAATAAAATCTATACGATCAATATCAGATTTGATGAAAATATAATTAAATGAAATCCAAAACCTATTTAAGGATACAAAAAAAACCTTCATGCAAATTAGGAATAGAACTAGGGAATTCTTATAGAATAGATTCTCACTAAAAAAAGCTATGCAAGACTACAGACAATGTAACGAGTAGTAGAAAACCAGATATAAACTTACACAGAATATGCCCTAGTTAATTTTGACCAAAATGAGCAAAAGCAATCAATGGGAGAAGGATGGTCTGTTCAACAAATGGTGCTGAAAGCATAGACATTTTGTCTAAGTGGATATCCCATGGAATCAAAGGGAGGAGGGAAGAGGAGAGGAGAGGACGAGAGAATCTTAAATCACATATTACCCCCCAAAACTTCAACACCTAGTACAGAAATATAACTCAAATGAGTCACAGGACTAAAATGTAAAATGAAAACTATGAAACTTTAATTTAACAAAATAGATGAGAGAAAATTCATCCTGACTAAGGTGAAAAGTTCTACACGTTGCCAGTTGAAAAACAATCCATAACAGTAAAAACTATAAATTTTGACCTGATCAAAATAAAATATGCTCTGTGAGAACGTTATCGGGAATTGAAGCACAAATGTACAAGATGGAAGAGTGTTTTGGATGAAGATCTATACCACAAGGGATTTGTACCTCAAAAATGTAAGAACTCTCAAAAACTTGGAGATTAAAGGCAACAGTTGCAATTAGAAAATGAACAAGGAAAATTGGTTAAGCAGGTCACGGAAGGAGATAGTGGTAGATTACAAGCCACCCACAAAGAATCACGTAATCTCCGGGAAATGCAATTAAAGACCGAGGCATAAGAATCCCACGGACACGTTGATGATAAGGATCTGTAAAGAAAGAAGAGAGTGAGGACACCTAAATGATTGCAGGGACAGATGATGAGGGAGAGAGATGGAGTAACTGTGCCAATTGTGAGTGGGAGTGAAAATGGGACGCCACGGAAGAACGCATTTGCAGTTTTCCGTAAAAAAGAAGAATGGATTTTCATGCAACCTTAGATTTCACTTTGGGTGTTCGTCCAGGAGTGAAAACTGGTCTCAAGGTGTATGAGCAGCTTTGTGCTATACTAGCCGCGCAAAACTGGAAATATCCAATTTCCTATAATGAGAGACGTATTACGCAAGAGTGTGGTACGAACACTGCACAGCCGTACAAAGAGATGAACTTATTGACAACTACAACAACTGGTATGAACCTCAAGGAAATTGTGCTAAAGGAAAAAAAGCCAATTACAAATGTATGTATGATTCCGTTTACATAATATTCTTTTTAAAAATTTTTATTTTAAGTTCAGGAGTACGTGTGCAGGTTTGTTACATAGGTAGACGGGAGTTTGTTGTACACATTATTTCATCACCCAGGTATAAAGCCTAATATCCATGAGTAATTTTTCCTGATCTTCTCCCTCTTCCCACCCTCCACTCTCCAATAGGCCTCAGTGCATGTTGTTTCCCCCTGTGTTCTCATCATTTAGCTCCCACTTATAAGTGAGAATATACAGTATTTGATTTTCTGTTCCTACATTAGTTTGCTAAGGATAAGGGCCTCCAGTTCCATCCATGTCCCTGCAAAGGACATGATCTCCTTTTTTAAGGTTTTTTTATGGCTTTTTTATGTTCTTTTTGATGGCTTCATAGTATTCCATGGTGTATATGTACCACATTTTGGTTATCTAGTCTATCCATTCATATAATATTTTTAAAATTAAAAAAATTATAGAGAGTGTGAACAATTTAGTGGTCACTAGGGGTTAGGGATGGATGTGAGGAGGTGGGTGTGGCTACAGAAGGATAGAACAAGTAAGCCTCACGGTGATGGCCTGTGTCTTCGTCGTGGTGGTAGTTAGAAGAAGCTTCACACACAATAAAATTGCATAGAACTACACACACACACACACACACACACACGATTGCATATGTAACTGGAGAAATCGGAGCAAGTCCTGTGAATTGTATCAATGTCAGTTTCTTGGGTTGATACTATACACATTTATGCAAGATGGTGACATTGGTGAAGACAGGGTGAACATTTCTTAACAACTTCCTGTAAATCTATAAATATTTTGAAGTATAAAGTTAAATAAATTTGTTATTAAAAAATTCATAAGAAGGATGCATAGCAACTTCAACATGTAGCAATCAGATAAATATTTGTTCAAAGCTGAAATATAGGTGACCTGACTCAGCAGGCAGAGCTGTTTCCCGTCTTCCTATACTCCCCTCTCAAGCTATTCCTCCTTTGCTTCCTTTGTAGGCATCTCTCACTTCATCTTTTCTAAATGCTGAGGTTTCCTAGTATATTGGCCTTTCTCATTAATTCCATTGGTATTTATTGACAGTATACTATGTTTTTAGTCAGTGCTCTAGTCTCTGGGATACAGCAGTGAATAAGACAAGATCCCTGACCTTATAGAGTTCACAGCCTTGTGGAGACATGGATAACAAACAGAAAAATAATATATGGGAAATATGTCAAGGGATGTTACATGCTAGAAATAAAAATAAAGCAGAATGATGAAATAGAGGCACTATTTTAAATATGGTGGTTTAAAAAGACCCCTCTGAGAAACTGACATATCAGCAGAGATCTGAATAAAGAAAGAAATGAATCAGGTATGATTATTTAAAGGAAGAAAATTTCTGCAAAAAGAATGATCTCTAAAATGGGAACCTGTTTCTCATGAAAGGATTAGCAAGAGGGGCAAGATCTGGAATGGAGGAAACAATGGCTAAGCGTTAGCAGGTGAGTCTGGAGGATTGCAAGTGGCTAGATCATGAGTATGTTAGAATTCTAGTGCTACATGACAAATTACCCCCAAATTTAGCAGCCCATAACAATAGATATTTCTTATCTCCCACAGCTTCTATGGGTCAATCAGGAGTGGCATAGCTGGGTGGTTCCTGCTCACATCTTCCATGAGGTTACAGTCATGCTGTCAGTCAGGGCTATCGTCATCTGGAGCTGAAACCTTCATTTCCATGATGGTTCACTTAGACAGCTTTTGGTCCTCACCACATGGACTGCTCCACAGGGGGCTTGAGTGTCCTTATGACATGGAGCCCTGCTTCCCACAGAATGAATGATCTAAGAGAAATCAAGAGAAAAGATACAATGTCTAACAGCCTTGGAAGCAACATGCCATCATTTCTGCCATATTCTATTAGCCACACAGAACAATCTTGATACAATGTGATCAGGGTTGAATACCAGGATGACTGGAGGCTGCCTTGGAAGATGGCTACTAAAATAAGCCAACTTTCAGCTATGGGTGAAAATAGAATTCTATTTTATTTTAAGTGGATGAAAGATTCCTAGAGGTCTGAAAACCAAGGAATGATGTGATCATGAGCATGCTTTTTACTCTGTTATGAGAATAAAAGGGTAAATGAGACTATTATGGAAATAGAAAACATATAAAAAGAATGCTATAAAAGTCCAGTAGAGGCACAATGATGGTAGGCTAGGGTGCTAACCAAGGAGGAGGTAAGAAGTTGTCAGCAGGTTACTCACTAAAAGTGAAGCTAACAGGATTTCCCCATGCTTGGCCAACTTCTCTTTTTACACTCCTTCTGGGTGATCCTATCACTTACATGGTTTAAACCAGTGTTTCTAAAACCTCACAGTTTACCTGCAGAGCTTTTTAAAACATAGATTTCCAGGTTCAACCTCAGGGAGAGATTCTGATGTAGGAGGTTTGGTCACAGACTTTGCATATCTAAGGAGTTCCTAGGTGATGGTGGTCTGCTGGTACACAGGCCACACTTTGGGTGACCTGGTTTAAATTACTATCCATGTAATGGATAATATGGATTACTATCCATGTAATGGATGATACGTAAATTCAGGCTTATATATTTCACTATCTTTCAGAAATCATCTCCGACAAATGATACCATTTTTTTTTCAAACTCAGGACAAGACATGTCCAAACATATGTCCTTATTTCTCCTAATACATCTATTTCTTCTTTTGTATTATCTATCTCACTTGGTGGTACCCCCAAGGACCCAGTCATTCTAGCAAAAAAATCCCGAAGTCCTTCCTGATTCCACATTCCTCCTCATCTGCATCCTTCACATCCCATCAATTACCAGGGCATGCCAATTTCACCTAAGTGTTTCTCAAATCTGACCATTTCTGTCTATCTCATTGTGAATGTTCTACTTCAAGCCTAAACAGTCTCCTAATAGATTTTATTCACATCAAATCCAACCACATCAGTTTACCAGAATAAACTAGTGAAATGCAAAACTGATCATATCCATCCTTTACTTTCAACGGTTCTCCATCACTGATACGATCTAGGCCGTGGTCCTTATTAACACGGTGTAAGAGGTCCATGGTGATCTGAACCCTGTGCCTGCCCTGCTCCAGGTACATTTCCCATTCCCATGTAACTTCCACTTTACATTCCAACAATCTTGAGCTGCTTCCTTATAATACCCTGCGTATCCCACATCATTTTGGGAAGCCATGGCCATGTTGCTGCTCATGTTTCTCCTCTACCTCAAGTGCCTTCTCTTCCACTCCCAACCCTTCGCACGTCAACTACTCAACATGTACTCTCCCTCTTAACTGAGCACAGTGGTCACTTCCTCCAGGAAGCCTCCCTTGGTGTCCTTACATGTACTCTCAAAATACACCATGTGTTTCTTCTTTTCCTATGCTCACACACACACACAAAAATTTGTTTACTTCTGCCTTCCCCATTACATCTTTCAGCTACTTGAGGTCTAGGACTGTGTCTTGTTTATTTCTGTACCTTTCCATGGGTCCTTGCATACGACCAGGAATTATTAAGTATTTTTTGATAATTAGACTCCTTTTAGAACTTCCTAAAATTATGAATGCTCTCTCATCCTCCAATACATACATTGATCTATAATAAAATCTGTAAAATACGTATTGATTTCACAGATTTTTCTGGAAAGGGGTGCTTCCATACCCTCCAATATACACTGGGCTCGTGGTAGGGGGTGGGGGAGAAAGCCAGGTTTGCCTAGTGAGGTGTTCCCTAATAGCATGAAAAATGAGTGGTGGGATATAGACCATGAATTTACCATTTTTGACTTTTAAATATTTCTTGTTACAATTAATGTATTCTGCCTATGTTACTTTCATTGTCTCCTCGGTAGAACATAAGTTCCCCAGGGCAGCAGAGATGTCGCCTGCGGTCTATTGCTGCACAAGGGAACTAGAACAGTACTTGGAAGAAAAGAGGTGCTCGGTAAATATTATGGAATGAATAAATGTGTCCCCTCTTGAGGGTGCAGAGCTATAGAATGTACTGCCTTCTGTGTAAGTTCGGGTTTGCTTTGTTTTTACAATAAAGTTATCTACATTGTTTCAAGGGCTATATTGTGTCTATATTACTTTAAAATTTATAAAATGAAGTGGTATTAGGTTTTTAGTATTTTTGCTCATTTTAATTATATACTATTTTTCTTTTCATATTTTTCTAGGCTAATCTCTTTTCTCGCATGAAATGACTACCACCCCGCCCCTTGATTATTTTGATTTCATTGACTCTAAGGAGAAGGCAAACCCTGTGGTATCAATTTACAAAGGGAGATGAAGAAGATGCAGTACATTTAGGTGAAAACAAAATAAATGTCAGTTTCTCCAAATTTGTGTGCTTAGTCAGTTCTAAATATATTGATGTAGTGTAAATACTGAATATTGAAATATTAACCTAAATAAGCATGTATTATTGTTAACAGCTCCTGGAATAGACAGCACAAATGTGACTTGGCTGCTTAAAAACTTCCTCAGATGATTTAAACATGGCCTCCGAGACTTGTTCCCATTTAAATTACTTCATAAACCATTTCCTCAAATATGGTACAAAGTCTATTTTAGCGCTTGTTAAATTGTCACAAATTCTGAGTTAGAAGACTATGAATTAATGAAGTTTTACTTCCTTTTGCAATTTCCTAGGTTTCATCAAAGATAGTACTTTCGCTTGCTTGTTTCATTTGAAGAAAAATCAGCAAAAACTATTAGAAACAATATTTGATTGTTTGTAGTGCAATACGAAGCTACATCTTGAAATTATAACCAACAAAACTCCAAAAATCTGTTTAAGGACACATTTTTAAATTTAGGACCAAGTACATGCCGTTAACAATCATAATTTCTTAACACTCTACATTCACTGCCAGCAAACTTTCAACATATTGGTTGATAATGAAGCTGGCGGGTACCCAGTGGGAACAGAAGTGAGAGGTACAAAGTAGAGCCCATGTGAATTTATTGCTACTGGTTTCAGGCTCCTTGCCTCCGTAGGCTTATGCACTGAAATGACCTGATTATCAGACATACCCTCACAATTATTCATAATACCCATAGCTATAGGCTCCACAATCTTGCGTGTACATTCATGCATCTCCACGTCACACGGGCTGTCATGCTCGCACATGTGCCATTAATTGACAAGAATGCTGCTCAAGTTGGCTGATCAAGAGATAGGCAGTGCAAAGGAACAGGATTTGAGACAGCCCAGGGTTTCCTCTTCAAGTAGGTCTAAAGCAATTTTTTTTTCTCATTAACTTCCTTCCTGTTCTAACTGCCAGTACTCAGAAGTCAGAGTTGAGAGACAGAGGCACCCCGGACAGAGACGTGAAGCCCTGAATGTAAGTTCAAATACCTCGGGCTGGGGAGGCTTCAGGTGGGCGCAGAGCAAAGTCGGAAACCTCTCGACGGGGCTACAGCCCTGGACAGTTTATTATTTTTTTCGACGGGCGGTTCTGCTTTAAAACAAACTTTATGATAAGAAATTGCTAAGGAGGCTGCAGAGAAGGGGAAGTTAGAGCAGGGAAGGCTGGCAGTGACTCAGGGGAGGAGGCTCAAAGAAGGAGGGTACAGGGTGCGCTGCAGCCCGGGAGGTGCGATCCTGAATATTCTGGAGAAGGGCTCTGAGAACACCACTGGGAGTGCCTGGAGGGGTTTCCTGCAAAGTAGGAGCAGGCACCTGGCCAGGCTCGGAAGAAAAAGACTGTAGATATAAACTGATACGGTCTGTGCTGGTGGATGATCTGGGGTGGAGATATGTGGTTTCCTGTTTTTAAGCAGGCAATGTAAAAAGACTGGTTGAAAGAGAAAAAAAAAGAAGTTCAAAGCTATCAAATATTAAACTGTCTTCCACTAAAGAATTTTCTGGTGATACAAGAGAAACGCATAATGAAATCCTCCCTTAGAGTGCAGGGAATTTAGCCCTCCAAGAGGAAGTATGGTATAGCACATGGTTATGTACTCATGAGTCATACAGTGATAGAATTTCTACCACTAACAAAAGACTGTGTATTAAATTCCTGCAGTCGGATAGGCAGAAAGATTGTTGCTGTTGTTGTCAAAAATAATAATAGGGCTGAGCGTGGTGGCTCACGCCTGTAATCCCAGCACTTTGGGAGGCCGAGGCGAGTGGATCACCTGAGGTCAGGAGTTCAAGACCAGCTTGACCAGCATGGTGAAACCCGGTCTCTACTAAAAATGCAAAATTAGCTGGGTGTGGTGGTGCATTCCTGTAATCCCAGTTACTTGGGAGGCTGAGGCAGGAGAATCGCTTGAACCCAGGAGGCGGAGGTTACAGTGAGCCAAGATCACACCATTGCACTCCATCCAGCCTGGGCAACAAGAGCAAAACTCTGGCTCAAAAAATAAAAATATTAGTAATCATAATAGCCCTTTACATATGAGATAACTAAAAGCAAACATGGAAAACACCAAATCACATATTAAGAGACAGGTTTTGGAAAAATTCAAGGAGGCCCAGCTAGGACAGCTGATCAGTGGGCCTTCGAAATGTCAAGGTCTGAATTTCAGCCACCATTAGGAGAAGTTCTTTAGGTATGACCTGAAATACTTTATTCCCTTTTAGAGGACTTCTCAGCCAGCATGTTTCATAAACATAATCTATAATTAAACTCTAGACCTATGGTAACTTGGGGTGTGGGTCTGATAAGCCCTGGGCAGTTCTTGATTCAGAGTGGGGAAAGGCAGACTGCTCTCACCCAGAGGGCTCGTGGTCACCCCTTCACATAGAGACCTAGAGCCACTGGAGTCAAGGTTGGCCTGGCGATCCTCACTGCAGGGACAGTCAGGCAAGGGAGATCAAGAGGACCATGTCAGTCTCTTGGTCCGGGGAGACAGGGGCAGAAGTTCAGTCCCTAGCAGGCATCGTGAATCTTGCCATTGGCTTTGTGTTTTTTTAAATTTGTAAGAATATATTCCCTCCCAAACCAGATATAGCACAAGCTGAGTAACAAAAGCATCTTACTCTTTTGTGAGATGTGGGAAATTCCAAGAGAAGAACAGTTCTTTCTCCATCCATGCTTCACAGATGCAAAACGTGAGGACTAGCCATGCTGTCACTGAACAGAAACAGGCAAGCATTTTTCGGGCCTCAACTGGAATTTGGTCCTTCCTTGCTTTGGAGAGAGAGCATGAGTTTGTTGCTAGGGAAGTAGGCTCTGAGCAACATCAAGGTTCTGTTTTCAGTAGACGCTCAGCACCACAAAGTCATTCTGAGGGAAAGATGTGGGTCTGAGCTCATTTGGGAGAGCACAGTACATGACAAACATCAGCTAGCAGGAAAAGAGAAGCCCTGGGGAGTCGAAATTATGCAGCTAGAAAAAGAGAACCAACATTTGTTGAGTGCCTTCTATGTGTCAGGCCTGGTGATAGAAACTTTCAAATTTTGTTCCTGAGAAGAATGCAGAAGTGTTCAATAATTTGACTAAAATTACATATGGATACAAAAAGGATCAATAGCCACAATGCCTCTGAATTGCAATTCACAGGGCTTGGTGGTGCGTGCCTGTAGTCCTAGCTACTCAGGAGGCTCAGGTGATTCTCCCACCTCAACCTCCTGAGTAGCTGGGACTATAGGTGCGCATCACCACGCTGGCTAATTTTACCATTTTTAGTAGAGACGGGGTGTCTCCATGTCGCCAAGGCTGGTCTCGAATTCCTGGGCTCAAGCAATCTGCCTGCCTTGGCCTCCTAAAGTCCTGGGATTAAAGGCAGGAGCCACAATGCATGGCCTGTTACTATTTTTCTTGAGACAGGTCTCGCTCTATCACCCGAGCTGAAGTGCAGGGGCATGAACACAGTTCACTGCAGCCTCAACCTCCTGAGGCTCAGGTGATCCTCCCACATTCTTAGGAAGAATCACATGGAAGAAATTTTCTCCAATTTCACATTTTGAGAGTCCTTATTCCCGGTTTGTGTTATTGTTGCCTGGGATCCTGTATTCAAGTCTACACTGGCATACCCAGAGATGAGTCTCATGTTGCCCATGAAACGCCAGCAACATTTAGCCATGCAATAAGCACATCCTGAATCACTCTGTGTCGTGTTACTCTCTGGTGTCCTCAGCCAGAGAGTGCATTTTACCACTGGTAAAAATTCACTTGGGCTTTCTTAAAGAGCCTGATAATCTTAGCACAAATGGTCATAAAAAATTCTCTCTCACTTCTGTCTAACTTTTCATGCTAATTTAAAACTTTTGTGAATATATTGAGATGCCAAAGGCAATGGCTTCCTTAATGCACAGTTTTCTTTGAGGATTATTTAAAATAACATTTGTATGGCATGACTTCACACATTGGGCACTCAGCAAAGCTCACTGGATCTCTTGAGTTCTCTCTCTTCGTGCATGCGAATGTGGGTTAGAAAAACATGCTATGAATGCACAGGCAAGACATAATAAGTTGTTTCTCTCACAAAGAGAAATGGTAAGAAATTACATTTCTACTAATTTGAGCTGTTCTCTGGACTGATCACAATATTTATTGTCTCTTACAAAATAATCTTGTCTTTGGTTTTTCCCATCCAGTTTTGAAGTTTTCATAGTCCTTCATGGGGCTGAGGTGGTAGAAAGCAGCACTGCAAAGTGGGGAGTATGGATTCCTCCATGTCACCAGGGACAGGGGCGGTGGGGAGAGGGTGGAATCCCTAACCAAGAAGGCTTCTGGTGTCCTGAGAGACAAACTTGCAATCCCATAATACGCCAAATCGCCAGGCAAGCAGCACAGGACATTCAAATCCTTGACTACCTCTGAAATGTCACCAGTGTTTTAGAGGTGGCTCCAGACCTGCGCTAGACCCACAGCCCATTTTGGGGGAAGTCAGACATATCCTAGTCAGCAGGGAAAGTGGAGATAACAGGAGTTACAGAGAATGCTGATGCTCACATAGGAACTTCTCTGATAGAAATCCCCTACTTCTGGTACTTCCACATTTCTCTGTCTCTCCCCTCTTTCTCTTTCTCCCTTCTCCCTCCTCTCTCTCTCCTCTTTCTTCTCTTTCTCTCCTCTCTCTTCCCCCACTTCTTTCTCTCTCCTCTCTCTCGCCTCTTTCTCCTCTTTCTCTCCTCTCTCTCTTCCCCCACTTCCTTCTTTCTCTCTCATCTCTATCTCTTCTACCTAATACGCGAATACCCATGGCCTGTGTGTCTAGATGCATAATCTAGCACAATTTTGCAGATCCAGCTTTGGGCTGTGAATTAAGTCTCCATGGTATTTTGCTCCAGAGCCAGAGGGAATTCTCTTAATTAGCTGTGCCTGTGTTCACTGACATTTCTCATCATTCACAGAGTGACCTCTGGCTTCAATGAAGAAAGGGAGCAATAAATAAAATCTAAAATTAAATTGTTTACATGGAAATTTTTAAAAGAAATATAATATAGTCTCATTTTAGGGTGATTCAGTTTTTAAACAATCCTTGCAACTCCCCAGAACTGCTTGTCTCTTTAATACTCCTCAAAGACAAAAATCTATTTTTAAGGAGGAAGGAGTGGGGACAGAGTCAGCTCCCATCCAGGGAAAAGCATTTGGTGTGGAAGCAGTTAGCTAGCTTCACTGAAGCCTTGTGGCAAAACAGACCACATCAGGGCAGGGAAGGAAGAAGAAGAAGAGAACAAATATTCATGGAACATCTATTCTTGACCAGTATAGTCCTATAATTTTTCACATGTCTTCTCCAATCTTTCATTCCCATAAAGAAGAACATCCCCATTTTACTGGTGGTAAAATTGAGGCTCAGTGAAATTAGTAGCTTGCTTGAGTCCTGTAATAATGCAGAGCCTAGTTTTGAATCCCTGGTGCATCTAACTCAATCTATGTTCTATGAGACATGAAAGTCGCCTTTCTCTGAATTACCCAGGTAATTTGTTTAATCTAAACTTAGGAATTCTACCTTTTCTTGTCCTCAGTCCATTTAGAGCTGCATTAATGAAACAGATGATGCTCTATCCTGACATGGGTGTAAATTTTTAAGTGTAATTCACTTGCAATGTCTTGGAAATTTCACTGAATTTGCAAGCAAAAACATTGATTTGTGCTATGTCGTTTGCACACTGTGAGTAACCATCCTAATTTAATTTGACATTTTAATTGAGGTTGAGAAGATTAAGTCCCCATCTCAGCACATCTAATGCTTGCCAGTGCTTTGCTGAATAGCCAACATGGGGATGTGAGGGCTCCACTGTGAAAGTTAATCTGTGTGGGCATCTGTGAAGCAGAAAATAGAGAAAACTGGAGTAGTAAGCCTGTGGGAAAAAATAATATGGGCTTTGGGGCCTAACAAATGGGGCCCACATTAATCTGGTTAAACATATAGTTGTTAATTCTCCATTTCATTTTTCCTGTGCAAAAGACCAAAGTCAAAAACAAACAAAACCCAACTCTGTCCTTTGTAGAATGGGAGATGAGCAGCTGAGGAAGGTGAGGAAAGTCCATCCAGAAGATTCTATGCTGATGGGCTGAGTCCTCCCCAACCTCTCTTTTACTTCCTCTTTTCTTTTCTCATTTCACAAGCTTCTTTAAATTAGGGAGCATTCGAGTCATTAAATTAAGAAGGGGCCTCAGAGATCTTTTCATGCCATGGCTTCATTTTGCAGAGGATGAAACCGGGGCCCAGTGAGGTTAAGCAACTTGCACGAGTTGCGCTGAAACATCGTTATCTGACACTTCCCTGCTTTGTTAAAGCTGTCTCTGCAGAGCTTGCAAAGAAGCACTGACCTCTGCTTGTGCAGCTCCAGGTAGATTCCCAAGATGACTAACAAACTCTAATTTTATTATAACTTCTTAAAGACAACTGAAGCAGTAGAGCATAGTGCCTAAAAGTCAGACAACCTGGGCTCAGACATTAATTCTGCCTACCACATGGTATGTCTTCTTTAGGCAAGTTACTTAACTTGAACTTTAGTTTCCTAGTCTGGAAAAGAGAATGATGATGCCAACGAAGTTATTGTGAGAACTACATAGACAATCCTCTAGAAAGCACTTAGCACTACATGTGATTACTATTATAATTTGTATCAATAATATCAATATTATCAATAGGAAAATCAGTTGTCCTTTAGATGATGGGATTGGAAAACAGTCTGTAGAATTTTCATAAAATT